TGATAAACACCGAAAAACGAACGGTTATCCTCATACATCATAATAGTATATTATAATTACATTATTTCCCAATAAACATCATCTAATCATATGACAAATAAAAATGATAATTTCACTTTGTAACAGATCAAGTAAACATTAAGAATCCATAAACTACTTCATAAAATGTTGTTTATTATTCTATCATATAAGATAGATTTCTAAACACTTTCATTATTAGTATCGGAGAGGGAATTTGTAGATATTACAATAATTTTAATAGTTGAGATCATGAGTCAACTAATGCTGCTGAAGACATTGGTGAATGTATGTCTCGATTTTGTGGATTAGTTGAAGTTAGACATTAACACCATTGGATGCCGGAAGGCTCAGTAGTCTAGAGATTAAGCTTTCACAAGTGAGACAGATAGACCCTGGGTACAAATCTCATGAAGCGGGATCGTAGATGCGCATTTCTGAGGAGTCTCACACTAGAACAAAACGATAGTTCGTTGCTTCCAGGTTTTTCATGGTGATCTAGCTTCAATTGACTCATGATCTCAACTACTAGAATTTTCATTATTGTATATTGAAATATATATTATAACTGATAAATGTTCTGTACATTCTGGTTAGCGTTTCTTTTTAGCGAGTTAGTTTTTCTACGGAATGAAGTCGCTAACCTCATGCCCAACCCTCCTCCTTTACCGAGGCTTGAGACTGACAGTAATCCTAGAAGTGCTACAGGCAGAGTTTCTAAACATTCTCTCTAAGTAAATTCAAAGTGGATTATATTTTTTTGTTTTGTTTAAATCTGTTAATAGATTAGTTTGAATTTTTCAATTAATCATTGATTGATAGATTAAATTATTTCAATTAGTAAAAAGATTTATCTTTTGTTCTAAAATCATTACAGTTAATTATGGGTGTTGATGAAATAAATATACATCTATTAAATATAAAAGAATAAGTAAATATATCATTGTAGGGACCGATTGAAATTGAGAAATATAAGTTAATCAATAAGTTTACAATGATAATTATCTAATTATAATATCTTATTTCAGTATTATAAGCAAAGATGGATAGTGGCTAGCAGTGAAATCCAAGACGCGCGTTTCGTCCTATTTAGGACTCTTCAGCTTCTCAGAGGTGATGTTCACTCAGAGACTCGAACCAAATAGGACGATTTCACTGCTAGCCATTATTCATCTTTGCTTATAATGCTTGTGAATTAAGGCAATATCGAGGCAATACGCACAGGATGCACATATGTCAATATGAGAGACCGATCAATTACAGTCCTAAACATCAATGATGAGATTCAAGTAAAACAATAGCAAGTGTCTTATTTCAGTAGATTTATAGTAGTACCATGATTATAAATTATTGTTACAAACACTAAATATTACTGTATTCGCACTCATCATCAGTTGTTCTATGATATATATATATATATATATATATATATATATATATATATATATATATATATGATGAGTGCTATATAGAACGAAACCACATAGAAACTTTTAACATCTTACCATAGTGTATTGTATTTTGAATTGCTTAGACTAGTGTAGGTATCATTACCAAGGTTTGATTTGATAATTTCGAATAAATTGAGCATTGGGTTGATTGTTATAAATAAATAATATATTTGTAATATCCCATTGAGTAGAAAATTAGATTTTCTGACGTTTCGTAGCTTAGTGTAAGTCACTTCTTCAGAGAATAAATAACCAAATTAAAATTAATCCAAGTTTAAATAGTACAACGGAACATTTGTTACGTTTATTTATATGCTTAGACTAGTGGTTTGAATATCTGGATTACCTGTTCCTGCTATCTAGATATTTCAACAAGTTAAATGTTTTCTTGTTTGTCTTAACACATTATTATGTCTATTAATCGCATAACCTATCTAGCTATGTTTATGAAACGTTTACAACCTTTCATTGTACAAGTTATAAAGTAATACAAACAGAGACATCGTGGCGGCTAGCAATATGCACCGAAAAGAATACACATTATTTAGATGTCGATTCCTAGCGATCATTCAATGTTTATCGTCAGGATCGATCAAGAAATAAGAAAAAGAAACGTGTTGAAATACCTTCTGTTAAGAATTCTATATTGTATCAAAAAGAGAATATTGAATACTTACTTACTTACTAACGCCTGTTACTCCTAATAGAGCATAGGCCACCGACCAGCATTCTTCAACCCATTCTGTCATCGGCCTTCCTTTCTAGTTCCATCCATTTCTTGTACATTTTTCTCATGTATTTCTCCATTTCTCGGCATAATTTTTTCTTTATTCTTCCTCTTCTCCCTTGACCTTGTGGATTCCATGTGAGGGAATGTGTTATGACGCAGTTGGATGCTTTCCTCAATGTGTGTCCTATCCACAGCCAGCGCTTCTCCTGACTTCTTCCGCCGATGGAATCTGGTTTGTTCTCTCCCACAGTAGATTGTTGCTGACAATGTCCGGCCGACAGATCCGAGGTATTTTGTGTAGGAAACTGTTATTAACACATGTATCTTCTGGACGATGGCTTTCGTAGTTCTCCAGGTTTCCGCCCCATATAGTAGAACTGTCTTGACATTTGTATTGAAAATCCTGACCTTGATGTTGGTTGACAATTGTTTTGAGTTCTAGATGTTCTTCACTTGTAGATATTCTGTTCTTGCTTTCCCGATCTCCGCCTTCACATCTGCGTCAGATCCACTGTATTCATCGTTGATGCTTCTCACATATGTAAAGAATTTAACATCTTCCAAATCTTTTCTGTCAAGTGTGATTCAATTGTTGCATGTTGTGTTGTATCGGAAGATCTCACTTTTCCCTTTGTGAATGTTGAGACCTACTTTTGCTGAGACTGCTGCTACACTGGTCGTCTTCTGCATTTGTTGTTGCGTTTACAGTAGATGAGTCAGATCATCTGCGAAGTCTAGATCATCCAACTTCATCCTAGCTGTCTACTGTATCCCGTTTTTCTTTTCAGATCGTACTTCTAGGGATCAGTTCTATAGTACGTATCACCAGGTGGTCAAACGTGACCCTGGTCAATGATTATTGAATAAAGCCATTCATAATCATAATAATAATAATGAAAATGGCCATTATTTAGTGATCAGTCAATTCTAACTACGGTGTATACTTAGTGATAAGCATCAAAATGTATGTCGAGATTTTAATATAGATTCAATCGAAAACAATTCACTGTAATACACATCCGAAAATAAGTCAGCCCTTTATAGTTGACGTTTATTTTCTGTCAATAACTAACTTATTTCCCTCCCACTCCAAAAAACGTATTTTGTTTATTCAACCAATTCGACAAAAATTTATGGTGATTTGCAGAAATTGTAGAAATTTTCTTAGCTTACACTGAGAACTAATTTTAGTTAGGCCTCTACTGAAAATCTGTAAACACTCAATATTTGTTCTGTTCTAGTATAGGACTCCTGAGAAGTGTGCATCCATGACCCCATCATAAAGGGTCAAACTTAGGACATTCAGTCTCTGACAGAAATACTTAACGTCTAAACCACTGAGTTGACATCAAACTATCTACACATTTACCTTCAACCGATTCACGATACTGAATGTTCATCTTCCATTGCCTACAGTGGATAACTGTCTCACATCGAACACGATTGGTCGTACAATATCGTGATTGAGTGTAGTTAAATGTGTACATAATTTGGTGTCAGTCTAATGGTTTAGAAATTAAACATTTTCTTTAAAAACTGAATGTCCCAAGTTTGACCCTTTGCGATGAAGTCGTTGATGCATACCTTTGAATAGTCCCATACAAGGACAAAACAGATATTGAGTGTTTATTGATTTTCAATAGAGACCTAGCTAAAATTAGTTTTCCGTGAAGACCATGAAAAACTTATCTGTTAAATGGAATTAAATATCAGTTACTAAGTTTGAATACAAAAAATGTAACGTTTAGTGTGTTTGTTATGATAAATGATTTAAACTTTAAATTCTAATCGGAAGAAGAATAATGCTCATTAATGATTTCGTCAAGTTACCCACAATGCTTTCCTCGTTAGTGTAAATGTTTCACATTTTAAATCATTCTTCCCTACTTCTATGTCATTAATTCCCAACAACAAATTTAAACAGTATGGATATTATCATACCTGGTATGTGTTGAAATCTCTGTTTTCGTAGCATTTTTTGCATCCGTACTGAAATAAATTTCTATTGTACGAAATTAACAAACAACAAATCTGCTGGTACAGAGATTAAATAGATTTTTAGATAACACTGGAATTTAGAACATAGGTTTCGTTCGATTTGGGACTCACCAGATAGATGCACATGAATTCTATTGTTAATATTTACTCAAAGACTAAAACGTAGCGGCTTTTGTCACAAAAATATCAACACATTATCTACTAAGCTAATGAGGCTAGACGGCGATTAACTTGTGAAACCAATATGCTGCATGTATTAGTAAGAGTCGAAATCATCCAGTTATTGAGATTCTTGAATAGATTCTGTTCGATTTTTTTATGTTAGTGTGGTGTGGGCTACTGATGATATCGACAGATATAGGTAGTATGTATCATCAATCGAAAGTGTAATGACTGGTGACAAAATGTTGAGAAGATTAAAGAGAAATGAACGAGAAGAAAGAATGATTGGTGTGAAAACAAATGAATAGTTATGTCTGAAACAACTAATTATGATTTTGCAAATGATGTACTTACTGTATGGTTCTCAGATTTTACTTAGAGATTCTGTAATTTTGTGTTGAAATACATTTGGTTGTACCCGCTAGTGTTTTCATTCACGACATTAGTATGTTTTCTTCTTGTATGGAATGCTTCCATATAGACATTTATTCCCATAATACGATATTTAAGTATTTCTGTTATAAAGTCAATGCTTGTTCATTTCAACCCCTCTGCAAATATTATCATTAATCCAATTTATAGATCAGCAAATGATTGATAAATTGATCCCCTAATTTAGTGTTTTTTCTCATGTTTTCCAGGTAATGCTCGAATTCATTCACATTTATATAATCCACATACAACTTATACTTCTATTGGATTACATCATTGTACTCATGATTCAAACAGTGTAAATATTCCACGATTAAAAGATAGCAGTAATAATAATAATGATAATAAACATTATACATTTTATTCAGGTGCTCATCCGCCTAGTTTTATTTTAGCTACACATTGTTTAGGTCAATCATCATCATTGTTATCTACTCCATCATTATCACCATTACAACAAAAGAAAAAACAATTACAAACTTCATCATCATCACCAATTGGTATAGATTGTAGGCAAAGTTGTAATGGAGATCAATCAAAGTATAATTCTAATCTTATTATTGATCATAGAAATAATTGTATGATAACACCAGGTTGTTTTATATCGAATTGTGCTGAAACAGAATTACCTACATTAAAAACCTTCATACAACAAGAACAACAGCAACAAAATGATCGAATACCGCCAATCCCAGTAAAATTAAATATCCAATCACACTGTGACAATTCACAACATCAATTTGATAATAATCAGGGAAGATTGAATGAAAGTCAGCAAATATTTGAAGACAATGATAAATACAATAATACACAAGATTATCAACGGGTATGTTCAATTATAATCCAGAATTCATAAACCGATCTTCAAATTGTTCCGTTGTGACAGTTTGTTTATTTAATGTATGATTGTACTTTATCTATCGAATAAGTAATTGAAACAAATGGAGATGTAGAGTAACTCGTTCTATATATTTAGATCAACTGATGTTAATTGATAAAAATTAAATGACAAGGAATGGCAAGCCAAGATTTCATACTTGCCAGTGCAAGGTATATTTGTAATCTTTAGGGAAGTGATGCTTGTTGTGGGATTCCAACTTTCATCGTTCAAACTCACAGTCTAAGACGTTGTTCTACCCACGTTTAACATCCTGTAAGACTAAGATATCTACTATGAATGATCACTGAGTGCTAATCAATATTATGTTTATAAAAGTCCCTCTTAGTGCTGATCTATTTTTATCGGTTAAAGAAGTTGCAAGGAGGTCACTAGTATGTGACTTGAAATCATGTGAATTGTGTTCAGATGGTAAGCGATTGGGGTTTATTCAGAGGTTATGTATATATATATATATATAATAGACTTTAACACAAAACCTTTGAAGTTACTGATTATTAGTAGTCACTTCTTCTTAATAAGCTTACCGTTTAGTTATTACTGATTATTCTTCTGGGTATATGAACGTTTGCAATCAAACTATAGGCATCAATTCCGAAGTACGTTAGCCGAACAAATACTTAGGAAATTACTTATGACAATGCATATTAATTTATTTTCATCATAGATATGACAATCACGCTCTTACTTAATAAAGCTTAATATTATTGACCTAGATTTAACAAAACTTCATATTACTATATTAAATAGTCTGGTTGAATAGAATCACTAATGTATACATGGAACTAATTGATTTATAGTTTACAACTCAATTATTTTATTGATGACTTCTGGTCTCTAGTTTATAAAAAAGTCTTTAAATACAATACTGGAAATATTTAACTCATTATCTTGCTTACATGGTATCCTACAGAAGTTTAGACAATCGGACGTCTTATGTCAATCTGTAATTAACAGACACGTCGATATCAACTGAATTTATCAATCCTTAAAGAAAAAGCCAACTAATCACATGGTCAAAGGTTAATTAGGCAAAATAATCAACGGGAAGAAGAAGATAAATAAGAATAATAAGACCTGCAATGAAAAGATGGTCATCATAGAGAGTCACGAATATCGAAGAGAAGAGATTGAGAACAGAGAGTGGGAATGAGGGAACAATGAAGTTTGAGACGACTGATTGACATTTTGCAAATAAAGTATTTACTGTATGGTTCTCAAATTTTGCTAAGAGGTTGTCCCCACTAATGTTCTCAATCACTACATCACCAACTGATATTTTGAAAGAATAACTTCCGGGGTTTTATTTAACATAGTAATGATGTAACTCAAAATAAATCAACAATTCACATTATTTGATTGTATCGATAAGTGTCTTGAAATAGTCTAACTCTGTTCCATTAGATATAATCTTATAATAAATTCAATATAGAAAATGTTTAGAAAGTTAACTGTAAATTTATTGTTCCAGTATACATACATCATGTGTATTTTTAGTGTACACCGATTAAAATGTCATTCGATGTATGTTTTTATGCGCGCCATGATGTAGGCATATGAATCTACTGATGTGTAATTCATGATTATCATATGATATAGGCTTTTTTCTTCATTTCCCATAATCTAACTTGGAATTGCGTGATCCATTCAGACGACATTTTTTTTTCGTTTTATTCCAAGTAAAAAAGGTCCTTCTAAAAGAGGGACATTAGTTAAAACATTATTATTATTATTATTATTATTACTATTATTTAACTGTATATCATTTTATCTTGTTCTGTTTAACTCTACACTTATAAACAATCATTATTCATCTTTGTTGCCCAAATATAACATGGATTTTAATCAAGTACAATTCGAATGTAGATATGATCAATATTTAAATCCGTTTAATATAGCTGATCTAGAATTATTAATAATTTACCTGAAATGAAACAAGATCACTGGATATCAGTTAATATTGTTATCACACACACAAACGCCATAATAATTTGAATTAAATAATCTAATTTCAGAGGAATACTTTGCCATACAAATAATTATGAATAGTTTAATTTGTGTGTCGATGTTAGCTAGATAACCGTCGAGAACATGAAAGAACTAGACAGCAGTTTTGTCACATTATCGGAATCCTGGGTAGTGAGCATCCACAATCCCACAACGAAGGGACTCGAAGCCAGGGCCTTCGGTCTCGCACGTGAACACGCCTAACCTCTAGACCACTGAGCCGGCATCCAACGGTGTTAATGCCTAGCTTCAATCGACCCATGTTCTTGCTCAACCATTCATCTATTGTCTGAGGTAGATGCCTGTCTCTACCCAACATGGATTGGTCTCTACTGGTCAGGGCTTCTCACTAGAACTCCATGAAATCCATCTTCAATCTAGTCACTAGTGAGCATATGATGACTAATATTAGAATGGGGGTTTGGGGAAATTGTAGTGACATCAATAGTTGGATTCATGAGTCAGTGCAAGCTTGAGCGACATTAAAATCATGGAAGCTGTCAAGTCTCATACTAGAACGAAACTTCCGTCCAAGGCTTCCAGGTTTTTTATTATGGTCTAGCTAAGATCGGCTCATGAGTTTAACTATTCAAAGCACTACAATCTTCACAACCCTTTCATTCTAATAAATGATTATTAATTAAATTACCGCATGTAGTTTTGTAAGACTGAATATGTCAATAAAAATAACGATGGATCATTGATTAATTTGTGACATTTATTCTCTTTTTTTGTGACTGGTCTCTTTATTTGACACGTCAAATTAGCTTAGTTGTAGTATTGTTCCATTTATATAGGACAGTGAAAATTCGTTCATCTAATTGTATATTCGTTTGTTTATTTCAAATCAAACCTGTCCAATTTAGAAATGAATGATTTGATTTCGTGAAGGAATTATAAGCATGAAGACTTTTATCATGATTGTATTTTATAAATCAGCTGGATCATTTGATTTGTGAAATTAAAAAAACTTAAGAATATTCCCTCATATATAACTTGAATTTATTTGATAAACTTTAGCGTCTTTATCTCAGACTGATCTTTCCTAAATGATTATTAGGAACAAGGAAGAATTGCATAGCTTACTTAATTACTTACACCTGTTACTCCTAATGGAGCATAGGCCACCGACCAGCATTCTACAACCCACTCTGTCATGGGCCTACTTTTCTAGTTCCATCCAATTCTTGTAAATTTTTTTCATGTCTATCTCCATTTCCCGGCGTAATTTGCACTTTGGTCTTCCTCTTTTCCTTTGGCTTTGAGGATTCTATGTGAAGGCCTGTCTTTGACGTAGTTAGATGCTTTCCTCAATGTGGGTCCTATCCTCATCCAGCGCTTCTTCCTGATTTATTCCTCCACTGGAATCTGATTTGTTCTCTCCCATAGTAGGTTGTTTCTAAAATTGCATAGCTGTTCCGTTCTAATATGAAACTAATCAGTAGTATCTATTCATAGTGTAAACAGCTATTACAACTTAGATTCTTCAAATATGGCAACAAATGCTCACAATGAGACCATATTGTAAGTATTTAATGATTTACATGTATACATTTAATCAACTCTTCATACTAAGCCATTATTTCTCAGTGTTATTGATAGGTATCTGTATCACTAATGAAAGTCAGTTGGTGATATAGACTTTAAAATTTGACTATCTACACAAACCTTTTGTCAGTAATTAAATTAATCATTCTTTCAAGATTCGTCATAATAAGTGAGACTATAATTTATGGACGACATTTGAGCGAAGCTCAAGTGATCTTGAGAGTGTCCACCTAATGATTACGATCAAATGTTGATTATAAACCAGTGTGATGAATTAGAATTAAGATTTACAGTTGATGGTTAGGATTATGAATTACATTTAGAGTTTTCATCACGAACTGACATCAGTTAATAATGTCAAAACTCTATTTATCCAAATGGATAAGTGAATTTCACACCAAAATCCGAGACCTTTTATCTTATACGTGATTGGTTCGTCCAGAAATTATAGTCTCGCCTCATAATATTTATCTCGATATTTATTTTTGACATTTATAATCAATAAATTATGTTGACACTCATAAAAAGCTAGAAATATTCGATTTGATGAGTTTGAATTACAAGAATTCCGTATATCAGTGTAGTTAGAATCACAAAATGTGTTAGCGGAATATAGATTGGATTAAAGTACGTTCTGTGTAGGATTATGTTGTGGCATGTTTATTAGGTACCTCTTATCCAATTAGAGCTAGAGGATACTTGGAGAAGACTCTAGAAAATTGTTATATAAAAATTTATAAATATACTTACGTCTCTCTTATTTTGATTCCGACTTCCATCCATCCTTATTATTTGGAATACAATGACATTTCTGTTAGAACGTGTTCTGGTTCGGAGACCTATCGAGTGAAATAGTATCCAAGATTATTAAGAAATAACAGTAGCTGGGTCGTAATAATAGAAATCATAACACAGTGTGATTATAGATTATGGAGAATGTAATTATTACTAAAATAAGATGTTCATTTGATGAAATGATTCATATCAGTACGTAATTTGTAGTTTCAAATTCTTGTTGTTTATTTATAGAAATAATAACAACATTAAATTCAGCTACCACTTTAACTTGTTTAGCTTGTATGAATTTCCATGAAACTAGGAAGATTCCTATCCTCAATATATCTCATCATTATTGCCTGGTAGACTATCTTAACATCCATTCTATTAATATTATATGTTATTATTTATCTTAAGAAATTCTCAAAGATTAATCAACTGAAAAATATTCACTCAAGTATTTACTTACTACTTACTTTTGTTACTACTCGTCGAGGAGCATAAACCGTTCACCAGCATTTACCATCCAACTCTGTCATAGGCAATCCTTTCCATTTGTTTCCAGTTACTAATCAACCTTTTCATATCTGCTTCTC